AGTTTCACCTCCTGTGCACTGCCCTTGAGCAAGGCAACATAACCCCAAGAAACTGCTCACTGTTGCATGTCCACAAGTGCATGAAGTGTGTATTTCAGCCTGTGTGTGTATAAAACAAGTGAAAAGAACAATTTCCCCCGAGGGGATTAATAAAGTATTTCTTCTTCTTCTAATAACTATTTACCTTTTCAATTAACTAATGAATCGGTTACTCTATAAAATCTGGGAACAATACCCATCACAGTTTCCTAAAGCTCAAAGTGATGTCTTCATATTGTTTATTTTTTCTGACCAAAAGATGTTAAATTTCCAATTATGGAAAACAGAGAAAAACTCTCACATTGAGAAGCTTAAATTTCTTAAAATGCCCATTACAATTTACCAGACCCAGGTTGTGGACAAACAGATTAACGTTGTTATAAAACAGAAAAAAGCATCGAACCGTCACATTTGACAACCAGAAACAAGCGAATTCATCTTACTTTTGCTCGACAACGATGACTTAAAATGTGAACTTCAGGCCATCAACTCAACTCAATTAACAAAGCAACTGATCAACTAATTTGTTTCAACACCAAACAACTTCCACTGAGAGCTCACCAGTCCTATGTGCCTATGCGGTGAAGCGTGTGCTTGTTTGCGGAGCTGCTGTGACTGGCGGATGAGGTCGGCGCTGTCCTCTGATTGGCTGGGCTCCCGCAGATCCAGCATGCTCTGGGACAGACGAGCCATCATGTTGAACCCGTCTCCCTGGCGATGCCCACGACCCGACCCTGCTGTCACTCCATTGGTCAGCGGGTCTCTTGCCTCCGGTTGGGAACAATCGTAAAACTCCTCTTCTGATGCGGTGGAAGTGCTCGACGGATTATCGTTGGCTGCTCGGTCACACATGACCTTCGTGCTGTCTTGGCTGCCCTCCTCGTTGCTGCCAGAGTCCCTGCCGTCGTCCTTTGATGTTAAGCGGCCACGGCCTGGTGTCAGCTCCTCCTGGGTTCTCTTTTCGGTAAAGCCATCTAGACTTTCCAATTGGTCCATTTTCATCAGAGTGACCTGAGGTTGGCCTGTCTGCTCCGAGGGGGCGGGATCTATGACTAACTGCAGTGTGCGGCGTTTAGGAACAGGAGGCGTAGCGGTTTGTGGAGTCTCTGGAGTTTGTTTAGCATTGTCTGTTGGCTGTGAATCAGCAGTAACACTGGATGGTGAAGCTGGTGTGTGAGCGTCTTGTGTTAAAGGTGTGTTTGGCTGCTGAGGGGGCACTCTGGACTCGGTCGCATCGGTTTGGTCTTTATTCTGAGCTGTGTGTGTTTGCTGTTTGTTGGTTGGACTCACAGGAGTAGAGCTATCTTTACTTCTATCCCCAGGAGGGTTTTCTACTGTTCCTGTCTGTTTTGCATCCTGACCTGAACCAGATTCCTCAGTCTTTGCTGGTAGAAACAGTGGTGAGCTGAACCGTATAGCCTGGCTGGTCTCAAACCTCTCCGACCTCTGTAAGTGAACCTGATTGGCTCGCTTTTCGTCCCTGATGTTGATAAAGCCAATCACGTCACTCGGTGGGTCCGGCTCTGGCCAGGTGGGCAGGTACGGGATCAGGTACGCTTTCTCCAGATCCGCCAATCCCGGATGCAAGGGTGGCACTTCTGTAACATATTTAGGACGTCCTTTCAGTATTTTTAGCCCTGTGGGAATCTGGGAGTTCTTATTGCTGGAATTTTGGTCAGAAGAAGTGGGACTTGTGTGGGTTCCTGTGGCAACAAGGGCATATTTGGGATTGATGAGCTTCCTCGCAACAGCAGCGGACACCGGAGCAGCAACCGCCTGAGGGATCGGGTCAGGGATTGGTTCATCTGCCACGGGGACCTTGTTGAGAGACACGCCTCTGGACAGGAGGTAGAGGTCACGAAACTGCAGGTCGAAGGTCTCCACAGCCTGTCCTGTGATCACAGAGATGAGGTTGCGGTCCAGACGAGATGCGGACCAGGTGAAGCTGGAATAACACAGACATGGAAAACATAAATTCACAGCAGCGACTCCCCAATTACAAACATGTTTTTCAGCTCCTACATAGAAAACACAGTTTATAATGTAATCATTACACCAGACATTTGTATCCTGAAGTCATGCATCACATTTTGCTCTTTGATCGCAACTTCCTGGTGGAACGAGGGACACGGTGTATCAGAGCATACACACATTTTGGTAAATAGGTAACTGCAGATTAACTCTCTGGACTAAAAGTCTCTGTGTGTTGCGGTGAAGGTTTATAATGGCGGAAGATGTGCCAAATTGTCAGAAATTAGCATTTGCAGATAAAGGTCTGCATGCTGCACCAGAGTTTCAGTCACTGGGGGAGGGGTGTATCGGCTTACAATGCTGTCAGCCCCAGTGTATTTATTACACTGCATGTCATGGCTTAAACAGATTTGTTTATCCACTTGGGAGCAGTGCTGTAAAGTCCTTATTGCCATATCATTGTTTTAAGTTGTTCTGGTGTTCGACTATTTACACATTAGCATTCATTTAGAGTTGTGTTTCTGGCTATTCCACAAATGAACCTAACCCTAACTGTGTCTGTCTGTTGTTTGGTGCTGAGCAGGCAGTGTACAGTCGGGTTTGTTAGAGCCTTTTAACTGAAAACAGCTGCCTGCTGCTGGAAACTGTGTGAGCCAGGATGGGAACAGTGAGACTGAAGCGAAACAGAACTATTGCGGGCCAGAAAACCAAAACAATGAGCTGAAAGATACCAAAATGCTCCGCAGTTTGACTTCTAGTGCGACCGCTTTCAGGTCACATATTAATTAAACCATATTAATGTAAAAATATTGATTATAGCAGCTTTAAAAACACACTGCTCACCTGTATGAACCAGAGATGGCTCTGTCTCCATCTACCAGGAGGAACCTCTGATTGAGCGATCCACGCACTTTCTGTGCTGACCGTGTGAAGAACTCTACACCTCCACAGCAGCGTACACGTAGATTCTGCACACACACACAAACACACACACATACAGGGTTACTTATATGCAAAGAAAGGCCATTTGGGGGTTTAGTGTCAATGGGAGGAAGGATTTAAGGGAACAAAGGGGAAATAAAGGCGACAAGAGTGGGTAGTCAGAAAATAATGAGTTTTCTTGTTGCTCAAGAACAGTTTATTAACACAACTATAACTTTGTGTCGGCTGACTCTACAGGTTAGAGCATGGATTATATCTATGTATCTGCATGCTTGTTTGACACACCCTGTGGTGTTTGTCTTTGGCCCTGTGATAAGGGCGTGGTTCCAGGCCGAGCGTTAACTTGTGAGTGAATGTTCTGTGCGAAATCTCACAGGAGACACTAGGAGTCGTAAACGCTCATAATAACAGCGGGGATGGCCGATAAGAAAGCAGTTGAAAGAGAGAGGGGAGGTCTGGTGGTTAAAGCTGCGAGGAAGGCAGAAGGAGAAATGAAAGAGAAACATGGTACGGAAAGTTAAGTGAAAGTGTGGGTGGTTAATCTAATCGCCTGCAGCACAGGCGGGAATGTGCTTCGTGTCTTTCCTGGCTTCCAGTCTAGAATATTTAGAAAACCCCCACGAAACATAAAGTATTTTCTGTTACTGCCTAGACCAGTTCAACACAGACAAGGCAGAGAATAACAAAAAAATTCACCCAACAGTCAAATACTAGCTGGTGCAGGCACCTTATCAGGACCTGCAGGCAAAAACCTGTCACACCTACGTCAGTCTGGTGCCTTACTTTAAAATTCCCGTCTACAGTAACGCTGTTTCTGTGTTTAATGAGAATTTAATTAAAAAGGTTTTTAAAATAAACAGTTTTCTATTATTATATCCTTATCTAACTAACCATCTATCCGGCGAGCTCGTCTCCCAGCTTATCCAAACATCATCTGGGTGTGTCTCTGTATACGTACCTTTAGGTGTCCGCGGTGCATATCAGCTCTGCCGCACATGGAAAGGAAGCAGGGGACTGCCGCCGTGTCAATTATTATGTACACAGGAACTTTGCGTTTGTAGGCTGCATCCAGCAGGTCTCGAAAAATATCCACATCTGTAAACACATCCATCACCACGGCTATCACCTACACACACACACAGAGAGAGACAGAGAGAGAGAGGAAACCACAAGTAGTGTTAGTGCTTCCTGGTCTGTAAGGGTGGGTTCGCCTTAAGCTGCTCTTATCAACAATATTACACCCATTAAATCCTCAAAGGAAGCTGGGTACTTATGAGAACTGGATCTAAAAAGAGTCATTTAAACCCTCAGAGACAAAGAACACAACTGTTCTGAGCATTGAGAGACCGCTAGAGACAAAGAGTGCTTTTCGGAGCGGTGATAGAGTGTGAAAATAGCTGGACAGTGTGTCTTCTGTGGGTTCAACAATACAGCGATGATAGTGACAGCATGGCACTCTTCACACAGCGCTGTCTCTTCACTCTTCACCTGACCCGGTTTTTTAAAGTCTGAAACTGCTGAACTGCGGCCACAAAGACCGACAACTTACCGATTAACACGAACAACAAAAATCGTTTGTGAGCTTTGACGTTGGGATATTTTACACGTCGTTACACTTGAATGAAACGCCGTCCCGTCAAATCTAAATTAAGTTAAGAGAAATAGAAGGTGAAAGAAGATAAGCTGTAATAAATAATGATGTTTAATTTAAGTCTTTGTTGCTTTGAGCTAGACTACTACATGTGAGTCAGCTGTCAGTCTGTCAGACGTAAAGGTTCTGTATGTGTGCACTGACGTCAGAGCATTTCTTTCCACTGGCGTGTCAAGATCAGACTTGTTGTTATTAAAACTTTGTTGTGTGCATGTGTGAGTGTGGCACATGTCAGGGGGAGGAAAGGGAGAGGGGAGTACGTTTTGTAAGACAAGACAGGGGCTGATAATGAGATGTAAATGTAACTGTAGGCGGATATAAATTGGAACGACACTGGCTTAAATTCACAAATTCATAAGTTTCATAAGTGGAACCAGACAAAGTTTCCAAACAATTATCAAAACAGTTGCCGATAAGTTCAGTGGGTTTATTGTGCGGAGGCTTATAAAGTTATTTTCTTTCCTCTGCTTTGTTGTTTGCGGTGTCGTGGCAGTGAACTGTATTATACACCGAGAACAAACATTAAAACCTTTAAGTATTGTGCTGCATTCAACGGCAATGCAGCAACTATAACTTTTGTGTGTTGACTCGGTGCATTTTGAGCTGCTGTGTTGTTTTTGTTGTTGGTCTGGTTCACATTAAAAGTGTGCTTTGTCCATATTTACGTGAACGTAGGAGCCAAATATGGACACAATATGATTAAATCCAAGTTAGAAAAATCTTTTTAAAAGAGTGTTTGAGAGTTGAAAAGCCTGTTTGCCACAGTTTTTTTAATGTAGAGCTGTTGCACAATGGTTTCATTTAACTCAGTATTAATAATCAATCATCATTAATAATTAAAACCTTATAAAAGGGTACAGATCCTACATGAGTCGTGATGAGTTAAAGGACCAGTGTGTAAGATTTAGTGTCTGTATTTGATAAAACTTAGGCGACCTGCAGCGTCTGTAGATAGAAAACGGCTCATTTTTATCATTTTAAGGTAACAAAACCAGAATTATTCCTATTCTCAGGTGATTATACACTAATAAAAAACACACCTATGAATATTATATTGACAACAGATCCTCCTGAATGTTACACACTGGACCTTCAATCCATTTATTAACAGGATGCATCATCAATACCTGTTGCTCACCACTATCAGTGATCAGTTCACACTTACCAGACAAAACGTAACAGTGATTTGATCATTTGTAATAAGATACATCCTGTATTAATACATGCAATTACAGTTATATATATAAAAAATGTAATCAGATTACAGTTACATTTAGTAAAAAATGTTGATTATTAGCAGAATATTTTGGTGCCAGGTAATCCAAAGTTATAAAGTAATATTGTGATAACTTGGGGATTAGTTACTGACTACATTTTTGAACCAAGTAATTAGTGATTTATCGGATTACATTTATGCAATATGTGCAATAAGACCTGCAGTGTGACACAGCTGTGAGAAAACAGCTGTATAATGAAGCACTGTGGTCCTGCAGAGGTGGTCTACACGTCCTGTTCCCCAGATTACAGCCTCCACAATCAGGATTTTAACAGTTTTTATAGTGGAAATATATAAAAAAAAAAAGGGTAATTATCACACTACTTATGAATCACAATATGCTGTTTTTTACCACATTGTGCAGCCCTCGTTATAAAGTGTTAATACCTGCCTTGCATCACCACCACCACCACCACCCTCATCTTCTTCACTGCCTACCTTCTGGGCTGATGCAATGCTCTTGCGCACCACCTCCTTGATGTGCGTGTGCCCCTCGACCGGAGGCTGCGTGTACACGGTCACACGCGTGATCCCCCGGTACGAGATGGCATCGGGCCAGCCGAGATCCAGCTCCGCCACCGAGGCCTCGGACCGGTCTGGCCAGTACTGGAGCGACACATTCCCGTCCCCGCCTTCCTCCCCGGACCCCGGGGTGAGGTTCCCCGGCCCTGGGGTCTCCGGCTTCAGGTGATGCTCATGCCCGGGGCGGTAGGCCTCCGCTTGGTGCTCAATCCGCTCCAGCTCCGGCTCCGAGAGGAACTCCCGGACGCCGGTTTTGAGGATGTAGTCCTTGAACGCATCGCGGCCCTTGGTGATGAGAGCCTCAACCGCCAGCCGTTGGTCCTCGCTGTAGAAGAACTCCGGTTTGCTCTCGCTCACACGCCAGTTGACGTGGTGATCGTCCAGACACTGGATCTGAGACAGCGCCATTAACCGCCGGTTAGAAGAGTTGGAGTACCGGGGAAAAAACTCTCTTTAGGCCAGTTTCCACTCGCTGGTCCGACGGGTCAAAGCTCAAAAAAGTGCGGTGTGTCATTCCGGTCCATAGTGTGGTGAACGGAGAGATTAATAAACCGCTACAACAGTTTGACACCGACTCCCCTCACTCACACACTCACACAGGTGATGTTGGAACAAAGCACCTCCGCCCCGAGCCACGCCTTTTACCTGGCAGGGGCCGGGCGATCTCAGCGGCGGCCCCGGTTCAACAGCTGCTGCGGCCGCGGGGCCCGGCAGACATGGAGGGAGGTAAACTATCGCGGCGGAACAACTTCTATGTCCTCTCTGTGTAATGTAAAATTTAGAAGGATTGGTTGTATTTTATTGTCATTTACAGACGCAAGGTGTTGTGGAAATGACTAAATATGTTTGAGAAGAATCTCTACTTTACGTCGCTTACTTTTTCTTCAGCAGAAGTGAACCAATGCTGGAGATATCATTTTCTAGCACGCCTTAAAATCAAGAAGGTTGCAACTGGCCCCATGAAGCTTTCGGCGACCCCTAGTGGGGTCCCGAACCCCAGGTTGAGAAACCACAGTGTTTAGATGTTTAAAAAGTGACTTAAAATACATTAACCTTGTTCAGACATTAACTTGCTATTTCCATGTTTATCCATAAAATTATTATTTGGTAGTTTGGTATTCTGCATGGCTTAAGAGTGCTCTAAAAAGGGCGTTAGCAACATTTATAAGTATAAACATTTTAAGCCTCTAAGTGCAAGGCAGAATGTAGTGCATTATTTTTATCATTTACTGAAGCCTAAACCACGTTTTCTCTCCCCTGTCCAGGAGGGAGGGGGGAGTTGAAAAGGCCTTGCTCTGTCCTGCCGACTACCGGAGGCACGCTCCGCCTTTCTGCCAGCCGGACAGCTGCTTCCGTGTGCCGGGGATTCCAGGGTCAGACACTCAGCCGGCAGGCTCCACCAGGCTGGACCTCGGTGAACTTCTCCGTCTGGAGGAGACGTTTTAACGGGGAAACGAAGCACGAGTTAAACCGACCGGGTGAAAGCGAAGACGTGTGCGACAGCGCTTCATGTCGCTTCTAGATATTTAAGGACTTTTTTTTGTTTGGTGTTCTTGTACATGTGGTGTGCTTCGGGTAAATCAACAGTTGCCATTTTTTTTGGGGGGGGGGGTAACCCAGCGTGAACTGCTGCGGGGGCAGACTCCCAACGGAGAAGGAGACTCCGTCAGCATTGAAAGAGTCGTGAGTCACAGTTTCAATCACTTTTAAAAAGGAGGGATTAATGACTTATTCTCTTCCTCAAGTTACGTGTTCCGCTTTAGTTTGACTCACTTGCACACAGACCACACACACACCACACACACACACACACACACCACTCATTTTCACCCAGACAGG